GCTCAGCCGATCCAGATGTTGGATCGGCTGAGTCGAACTCCTTCTGCACTTCGGATCAGCCGAACATGCTGAGCATGTTCGGCTGATCCGAAGCCACACGAAGCAAGCGGATGTACGGCTGATTTCAGCCGTACCAGCCTGAAGTGAATAGCCGAACAGTGTTCGGCTCACTTCACTTCTGATCGGTCATTCACTCGGCTGCCCTCGGCAGCTTTGTGAATAGACCCCTTAGTCATCATGTTTGCAAACAGCTGCTCCAGGTCTCTCAGCTGAGCTTCCCTGGACTTCCTGTTCAGTACAAGATCACCCATTTGCAAGGGTGGTCATACACTGTGCAATCTTTACAAAGTAACTGACTTACTAAGTGCTTGGTAGGATTTAGGCCTGGTTCACACCTAGGCGTACTGCATATGCGCGTCTGTCGCGCGTTTTTTTACCGCGATTCGCGGTAAAAAAATTGCGCGACAAACGTGCGTTTCCGAGGGCTACTTGGCTGTATCCCAATGGAAACGCGCAAAAAAAACGCCCCAAAGTAGTACATGTACCTTTTCAGGCGTGGGCCGTTTTGTAGAGCGTTAGGGAAGGGCTGGAATACGCAACCAGACCATTGAATACAATGGGATTTAGATGTTTGAACGTTTTGTAGAGCGTTCGTCGAGCATAGAACGCGCTACAAAACGTTCAGGTGTGAACGAGGGCTGAGAGGTAATAAGGTCTTCTGAGGGGAGAAAGGAGACTAGACTGTCGCCCCATGCACACTGCATTCAGCTGGCACCATGAGGTGAAAGGACAGTCAGATGGTCTTACTGCCCCCAGATCTAAGACCCTTACCTTTCTGTACCCAGATATATAAAAGCAAAATTAGATAGAAGAGAGGCCAATCATGTTTCCCTGGTGGCCCAGTACTATAAAGCAACTACTAAGCACATATGTAAATGTGTCACCTACAACTTATATGATGACACTGCCAGTCTGGATGTGTGGCACAAAACTATACAGAAGAATGAGATATGTAGGCCTTCATAGAACAAATGCATCTATATCATCCAGGTCCCCCCTCAGAATCTACTACAGAATGAAAATGGTCATTAGAGAGAAAATCCATATCACTACTAATTCACTATTTGTTTGGTATTTTTTAGATTAGGAGACGCTGTGAGTTTAGTACAACTCTACCACATGGTTCATCCCGATACTGAGTGTGCAAGAGAGTCCCAGGGAGCCGATGGCAGAGAACTTATCAAGGTCATTTTACTTTTTCTATATATGTTTAATTATTAAGCAGCATCTAACAGTTGGCATAAAAACGTTCCTTTTGCCACAAACAGAAAAGGGAATTCTGTACTTACTATAAAATGTATCGTGAGGCATCAAGGGAGACACAGAGGATGAAAGATTTCCATCTTGCATATATTAGAAAATGTGTGCCTGCTTGTAGAATAGTCCATTAGAACAGGGCTGGACAAATGCCAGGAGTCGGGTTGTCAATGCTCCTGAAAAATGACAGCTGGTGCCTAACTTAAGATTTTCTCTAGTTGTTGTCAATGGAGCTGGCACCTAAAAAAAAACTCCTCCTGGACAGACTGGCCCCTGAATGCCATATTAATTTGTCCACCCCGGATTTAGAGAGATGATCCATACATAAACAGTACTAAATGAAGGTGTGTAATATCCCTTTGCTGTATTGATCCATTATAGACGTTGGAGAGCGCTGCATAGTCTCCTCATGTATAGCTCCTTTTGTTTTTAATGTTATATGTTCCCTATATAATACTCTGAGTTGTCTATTGGATACATGCTTGTGATTTCCTGTCTTTAAGGCTGGCTTCACACCTTTTGTGTTTTGATCCTTTTTCCATCAAAATGCATTTCACCCCATACATTAAGGTCCACATAACACATGTGAACACATCATGATGTGCGTTATGCCACGTATTGACATTTAATACAAATGTGTCACAACGCACATTGACATGCATTTCCATTAATTTCGATGGAAAATGCAAACACATAGGTGAGAATCCAGACTTAAAGCCAGTTAAAAAAAAAAAACCCACTCTACAATGGTTGAATGCTCAGTTTTGTCAAGGGGGATTTTGTAAAGCACTTTTACTTACCTGATCCCCCGCTCCCCCCAGCGCTCACCTCTCTTACCTCTGGCTTGTGGACTGACCCTCGCTGTCCTCACATATAATGCATGGCCAAAGACTCTGCCTTAAAGGAGAATTATGGGGTCAGGGCTTTTCCCCATAGTTCTCCTTAGGGTAACGGGAGGACACAAACTAGCGTCCTCCCGTCACCCTACGCTCAGTATACCGCAAGCTACAGCTCGCGGTATACTGAGATGCCGCAGCTGTAGCGGATCCCGACATCGATGTTGAGATCCGCCCAGCTGCATGAGTGACAGCTGGCTCTGCCTATCTAGAGGCAGAGCCAGCTGTACCCGCCCCCTCCCCCATCCGTTCTTCCAGTCAGCGCTGGCGGGAAGGGGGGAATCCATCCCCTCCCCTGTCACGGCAGAGAGCCGTGACAGGATCGAGAAGTGAGCGAACCTGGTATGTGTTCGCTCACTTCCCGATCTGCTGAGCCGACCTGTGACAATGAGACTGTCACAGGACTGAAAAGCACTCACCTCATAGTTCTGCTTTAAACATGATGATGTCAGACTGCCAGAGTGGAGGGGGAAGAGTCTGCAGGTGCCAGTGTTGGAGGCAGTGGCTATCGGGTAAATAAAATTGATTTACAAGCAGTTAACCCTTGCAGTACAGGGTTTTTTTCCCAAAATAATATTCCATGTTACATGTGGTTTTTATAGATTTTTTATTTTATTTTAATTTTTTGTTTGTGATAGGTGCAAGGAGGAGAATGCCGAGTAGAGGGTCGAGAGCAGTGAAAAAGGGTAAGAAGCCCAGTGATGGAAGCTGAACTAGGAAGAGACGGCATAAGGACTGAGCAGGAGCAAGTGTAAACGCAAACAAGTACAGTAATACCTTGGTTTAAGAGCATAATTAGTTAAGGAAGCATGCTTTGTAATCCAAAGCGCTTGTATATCAAAGCGAATTTCCCCATAGGAAATAATGGAATCTCAGATGATTCGTTCCACAACCCAAAAATATTCATATAAAAATGATTACAATACTGTAATATAATACTGTACAAAATATAAAGAAAAATAAACCAATTACCGGTACCTTCGTGGCTGGTGTGAGAGGGACAAGAGAGAGGAGAATTATTGTGTAGGACGACTTTCACTATCACTAACGGAATCACTCCTATCTCTTGGCTCAATGGAATCTTTTTCATTTCGTGAAACCTTAACAAGGAATCTATTCAATGTGACATTGCATTGTCGTTAAACAGACTCATCGCTCGCACTGCTACAGCCTTATTCGTGTGTCGCTTTTCTACAAAATTTTGCTCTTATTGCAAGACATTTGCTTGTATATCAAGGCAACATTTTTCAGAAATGTTTGCTTGTCTTGCAAAACGCTCTCAAACCAAGTTACTTGTAAACCAAGGTATTACTGTATAAGGTTAAAGACTAACTCCATAGGGACTTGTAGTTCTCAATTTTTTTAAAATACAGTACAGTCAGACTTACTTCTGCGTGCTCTCCCAGTGTACAGTGTTTTAATTTGGGTCTTTTTTCTGTTAGCCCAGTGCTGATGCTGGGGTAAACTATGACAGGAGACAATTGTTTATTTGGTTAGGGCTGCCATTTTCAACAGTAAGCTAAATATGTAGAAAAGAGCGAGTCTTTAGTACTACTTTAACAGAAAAGTAAACAGGGAGAAGGTCAGAGGGAAGAATAAGGCTGACCATAATCCTATCAATTTGTTTCGTTCAACCCCGCGGGCTGAACGAAAAGAATTGACGCCATTCCTCCATTAACACTTAACAGCATGTCGATCGAGGAATCGCCGCTGTTTGCATTTTATTCTGACAGATGCCGCCGGCCGCTGTCAGAGTACCCGATCAGAGCTTATTGGCTGCCAGCTCTTATCATACAAAGGTTTTCCAGCCGGCTCCTTCGATCAGCTGATTGAGGAATGCCAGCTGAAAGGAAGCTGACAGCCCCCCACACTGTGCAAATTTCGTCCGGTACATTAAAAACTAGCCAAAATTTGGTCAGTGTATAAGCACCTTAAAACAGGCAGACATTGAGTGAGGTTGCAATATTTTCTTTTTACAAGAGGTGTTCATCCGCGGAGCTGCAGTTCTATACATTAAAACTAAATGGGAAAAGTAGCACTGAATCATTTGAGACAAATATATCTATTGGTGGTAAGTCCAACAATATTAATTACCTCCTGTCTCAGTGGCGGAACTACCAGGGTCGCAGAGGTCGCGACCGGGCCCTGGAGTTCCGCCACTTGGAGGGGGCCCAGGACAGGAGGAAGGGGCCCCTGGTAACAGCTGATTACCATGATATTTATTATCCCGGTAACCGCTAATGTCAGTCCCGGAACCTCTTCCTCCTGTCATGGGCCCTACATGCTTCACGCTGCTCCCCTCACCTTGTTCCGGGCGCAGCGTGAAGTATCATCCAGCCGGCGCAGCAGCCAATGAGTTGGAGCGGTGTTATCCCCGCCCCCTCATCACACAGAACTGCTGCCCGGTGATGAATAGAGAGCTGCTGCCTACACGAAGGGGGAGATGGGGAGCTGGAAGGTGACATGGGGTCCGGGAGTGGAAAGCTGGGGACCTGAAGGGGGAGATGAGGGTAAGCTGAGGACATGGAAGAGGAGAGTGTGGGGTCCGGGAGCGGAAAGCTGGGGACGTGAAGGGGGAGATGAGGGGAAGCTGAGGACATGGAAGAGGAGAGTGTGGGGTCCGGGAGCGGATAGCTGGGGACATGAAGGGGGAGATGATGGGGAGCTGGGAACATGAAAGAGGAAAGTGTTTGTTTATTTTCCCCTTGTCTAAATTTTGTTTTAAAAAAAAATCTAATTTTGTTTCTTCTTCGGGGGGGGGGCCTTCATGGATTCTTGCATCGGGGCCCTGAGGTCACTAGTTACGCCTCTGTCCTGTCTGATAAATGATCTTTAGGATAGGTTCTTGTCATTTTCTAGCTGAACAATGGAGAGCAGCCCTTTCCTGATCTGTATTTTATGTTCTGATTCTTTGCAGATATTTGTTCGAATGGAAGCGAAGAATCCAGGATATCTAGAACTAGCTCTACAAGCGTATCCACAGACTGCCAGCAGTGCAGCCTCTTCATGACACCAATGCTGGACTTCTGCACAATTCTACACTTCAGTTTCATGAAGCCATTTCTTACAATGCAAGATGTACTGTGTCCCTCCAGCTACCACTGAATGTGAATATATGTGCTGGACAATGAAACCCTTCCCTACTACTATGTGTCACTATTTCTAAATAAATATTCATTAAAAAACGTTTCTGTGTTTCTCCTATTCACCAAAGTGCTTAGCAAATGCCTGGAGCAAAAGACCTGTCTGTAGGAGGCAGGAAATTTAATTTACCTATTCAGTCACAAAACTGAGCACTACACTGTAATATCCAAGTTGTATATTATTACATTTATGCTGCATTATTAGATTGGTCTGAATTTACAGCATTTTTTAGGTAACATCGTTCTGTAATGATTTTCCTTATAATAACCCAACAATTAATACAATAGTGTGTGAACATGATAATTGGAACATGGAAGCTGCTCTCTGCTGATTTAAGGGGAATTGGTTCTTAGTCAATTTTATTTTCAGCAAGGTGATTAAGAATAGCCTGGTAAACATGAAAAGGATCACAGAGATCTACCTGCTGGATGTAAATGAGAATACATGATATTCCTATGCAATCATTCTTATTTACCTAATACTTTTATATTTAACCAGACAATCATTAAGAAAATATGTACAAAGAGTCTACACATTTTCATTAACACCGAACTCCAGGCACAAAAAAACCTCATATATATTCCTCAATAGTTACAAAGGCTATAAATCCACTTAGTGTGCAGTCTGAGTTTTAAATGTTACTGAAAGCTATTCAGAAATGTACCACAAATGGAGCTTCTATGTATCTATTCAGTAAACTAAATACACCACAGATTGTAGCTGGACACTACTGATTTGTGCAATCTTTCTGGAGGGATATATATACTGCAGTACACTCATGTGGGGGTGTGCTGGATATCTTACGTAATCATTGTTTTTCTTCCTCCATCCAGCACCTTTTGTGTAACCCAATTGTTAATTTAAAGGCTTTCCATTGTCCACAATACACACATACTGTATATCTGACACTAAACTGCGGAGTTGAATCGTAAAAATCCATTCAAGTGCCTTTACTATTAACAAAAAGGAGCTGTTGGCGGTGACCTGTTGTTGTGTATGTACTGCTTGTGATCGACTGAACTGCTTCTAGCAGATGGGGGTTGGCTGCCATCGGGGCCTCCCCTTGGCTGTGTTTTTGTTTTTTGCCTGAAGGGGGGCCTATAACCCAAAAGTGAGAGATTTGAAGATCTCTGCTGTATCGTTCCATGAATGCAGAGGAAAGGATTTTATGGTGAGTACGAAAATCCAATTTTTTCAACATTTTTGAAATATATTATTCTTCCAACATAATTTACATCTGACTGTATATTAATAGAAACATGGGAGGACGCTAGTTTGTGTCCTCCCGTTACCCTAAGGAGAACTATGGGGAAAAACACTGACCCCATAGTTCTCCTTTAAAGGGTTGGCCATGGCTTTTGTTTTTTTTAGCTGTCGCCAATTTTTAAACTAGTGCTATATTTTTGTATATCTGTCTCATGAGCAGCATCCACATTTAAAGCCATGCCTCAGCACAAACCAACCACATGCACTATATATTTTATTTTGGCATGTTGTGAATACTGATTTAAGTATTCCTCCCTGTTCCTCCGAACATATGCATTTGTCTTAGTGATACTCCACTTTGCTCTAGCACCTGATAGGTAGACTCTACCTTTAACTCTGTATGGAGAAATTGTGCTTACATTTGACCTTAAAAGACCGCACATTGCTGTTCAGTGCAGTGTCTTCGTTGCAGTATTATTGGGCAGAGTAGACTATTCCCGTGTTTCCCCGAAAATAAGACCCTGCTCAAAAAAAACACTAGGTCTTATTTTCGGGGTAGGTCTTATTTATTTGTTTTTTAATGTACAACAATCCACACTTCTTCATGTATTCATGTAAAAAATATGGTGATATGGGGTACCGTACCTTTCCAAGAGCAATTTGCTAACCAATCGCTGGCCAGAATGAGCGAAGCGCACTTTCACTATCGATTCCTCCCAGGCGGAGTGCATTTGGTATCACTCCGCCTGGGACAGGAGCCGGCGCTATAGAGGAAACATCGGCTTATGCGGCTCTGCTCCCTCCGCTGCTGCCTCGCTTCCTCTAGCACTGGCTTCGTTGGCACCGCTGATTCTCTCCCACGGCTCTTCAAGTTCCCCCTTATGCCACCACCGGCCCTGGGAATGGTCACAACTAGGTCTTATTTTCGGGGTAGGTCTTATATTTTAGCAATTCCCAAAAATAGTACTAGGTCTTATTTTCGGGGTAGGTCTTTTTTTGGGGGAAACAGGGTATTAGGGCCAGCAAACAAAATGAGGAAAGATGTAGCATCACAAAATTGACTGCTTTCATAATGGTAGAAAATACAGTAACTCATCACCCAAATATCCCTAAACTTAACCTAACTCCACAAACTTTAACCTTTTAGTTGAATTTACCGCTCTCTAACCTTTACCTTAAGCTTAACATGCCCATAAGCATATGCTTATCCCTAAACTTAACTTTAGCCAAATCACAAACGTATCATAGTGAAAAGAATACCATTATGTTGATATCACACTGAAAATACTACCAATGTAAGTTTGACGCTTTCCTGCACTGAAATGCATTACACTCCAAAATCAAAAGTAAAAACAGAACATTCAAAAATACATGATGGAAAATAATAATCTGCTTGGAGGAAAGTTTCTAATCATATGTGTTTACTGCCTTTTCTCTGCAGGTCCTACTTAGCTTGTCTGACACTTGAATGAAGAGTCAGAGTATCACCTTTGGAAGGCTTGTGGTTCCTGTCCCCAGTACTAAGGATAACGTAAATTACTCGGTGGCAGACTAACTAACACATTTTTTTTCTTCTGGACTGCCATTGGCCTAGGCTGAACAGAACTCATTGCAGCCTGGTTGTTAAATATATTTAGAGCCACACTATGTCAGAATTCAGATATGTCTGCGAACCATTGGGCAATCAGACTCTGTGCTGGCTCTGCTGCCTAAAATCATGGCTCATGTGATCTACCCACAATTCCAAGCCTGAGCATAGCCAAAGCGTACCTTTTGATCACAGACATTCTATATTTACAGCTAATATTAATTTGGCAAAAGAAATTAAATGACACGGATAGCAATTTGAACTGCTCTCACTTACCATCAACATGACAAGAAGAATTCACTATCACGCTGGGATGATGCCCAACAGCGGTGGGTTACTTGGTATGGGAACCTCATTTTCTGGTAATTATTAGACATGTGCACTGCCAAAAAATTTGTTTAGTTTCGTTTTAAATTCGGATTTGTGTTATTTCGTTTTTCGGCATTCGGGTGTGAAAGCCAATTTGGATTCGGACGAAATTTGTTAGCGGTAGTTCGTTCGAACGTTCGTTTCGTTTGCAGCAAAGTGCCATTTGAGGGGGAAATGTTTTTCTTCAACGAACGAAATGAATAAGAAACGAAAACGAAACGAACGTTCGAACAAACTAACGCTAACGAATTTCGGAAACGGAAATTCGGATTCGTTTGCATTCGTTATATCTGTAATTCGGATATATCCGAATTTCGGAAAATTCGTCCGAATTTCGATTCGGAACTAAACGAATCGCACATGTCAAGTAATTATCAGCAGGGAAAAGGAAGCGTTTGAATAAACACCAATATAATGTCATTTTACCTGATATTACTTTTTTTAAATGAATCACTTGGTCTAAAGATTCATAGAAAATGTTGTAGTGTGCTGTACACAGGCAGACGTAGGAAGTGTTTTTAGTTCAGGAAGAAGCTTGGAAAATCTGATTTTGAAAGCAAATGTAAGGAATAGCTGTGCATTGTGCTAATAATTCATCACAATAGTGACCCTGATAGCACTCGCCTTCAGTGGAGTTTGCAGCAAGCACAAGAGAGAAAGGAAAATCTATTATGATGTTAATATAAGGCACAAGAGCGTCCATTTTGTATAACTGTGTGTCAATTGTAAATGGAATCCTAACTTGTACATAAGAGTACTGTCACTCCTTCTTTTCTAGAAATGCGCACCCAACACATGTTTACATTACTATGTGCGTATTTGGAGGTGGGGACTTCAAATTCTTTTTTTGTATTTTAAAATTTATTTTACTTAAACTTTACTTACATTTTTTCAAACTTTTTTTACTTTACTTCATTGCTATCACATAGGGGGGCTCAGAAGCTATTCAAGTGCAGATTGCAACCGCTTCTGGCTCCATTCAGCGGGGAGGAGATCAGAGAATGGATGTTCGCTGGTCTCTCTCCCCTCTACACGCTGACACCCGTGATGCCAGCCTGCAGGAGGGGCAGCAGCAGAGGGAAAGCAAGGTGGGGGTGTTGGGCGTGGTGGGGCCAAGTCTTCACTGGTCCCTGGAAGCGATCTGGAGGCAGCTCAGCCATCAGAATCACTACCAATGTAAAGCTGACCGTCAGCTTTACGCAGCTGAAGAGAGTCCCAGTGGCTATAGGCACTGGGAGTCTGTCTAAAGGGGCCCACTGCCAGTAATGTATGTCTTTAATAGCTGGCAGCAAAAGGGTTTAAATAAGTTGCCCCCTTTAAAAAATTCAGTTTCCACTTCTCATCTTTGTCAGCTTAACAACAAATTCCTGTATTACTAATGTTTTTACTCACGATTTACACAACTTTCACCCAGGATTCACACATTTTCTAATTGGATTAATGTCTTACTAAATACAATAACGTTATAATATTTTGTCAAATAAAGAAAAAGGGTCTGAAGGATAATTTGTTTTATTGAACAAGAATACGGCAACACATACATTTCAATAAATTAGAAATGCTAAACAAATTTCAAGTGCTAACAGTTCTGTCGATCTGAATGAGTCTGTATATTATCCGAATCCACCTGTGCCAGTGAAGCTAACTTTATTCCGAGAAAACCAGAGTTTCAGTGTGGTGGTTATTTCCCGATACCTGAGTCCATACAATACAGGCGATAATGCTCGCGGCATCACCATTATCACACCATTGTTACTGGCAGTTATCCACATTCTAATATCCATTCCAATTACATTGTTTTTAAACAACATGATTTCCACAGTCAAAATAAAAGCAGGTACAATATACAAACAAAGCAAAATGGAATGCGTTAGAAGGGTTATTTTAGCTCTTGAAAATCGGCTAACCCAGATACCCAACTGGCGCGTCATTTTGTATAACCTAATGTAAAAGTACATGATCATTACCGAGCAAATCATCAAGAAAAAGATGGCAAAGGAGCAGACAATAGTGACTGCATTTTCCTTTTTCTCTTGAGGCTCATAATAGAGCAAGAGGCATACATTTTGTCTTTCATGTAGGTCTGTGTTAAATGAGTCAGAGAATGCAAACACTGATAGGGGGAAAACAGCTGAGAAAATCCAAATGGCTGCTAGTATTTTTCTGGTGCGTTGGACAGACAGGAGAGAGTAGTAATGAAGAGGGAAGCAGATAGCAATGTAGGTGTCAATTACCATGACAGTATATGTCAAAACACAGCTGGTATAGGCTGCAAATGAGAAGACAATCATGGTGAAGCACAGAAGCCTGTGGACGTACCAACGGATGGCATTACAAGCAGAAATTAGATTGTTAAACAGAAGAAAGATGAGGTCTGCGATCATCACATTGGCCAGGAGCGTGTACCTTGTCTCTTTTCGTAGTTTGTCCTTCAATAGTATAGTAAAGAGGATCAGGGGGTTGACTAGAAGAGTAACAATGCTGCAGACCACTGCAGGAATTAAAAACATCCGCAAAACTAGGATAGATTGGTAAAGGCATGCTGAGTTAACTGCTGTGCCATTAGCAGGAGTTTCAAAAGGTGTTGTGTATGATGAGGGGTTCTCATAATAGGAAGTGCAATTCATGTAATCTACAAGCATCTTTATCTCATCCTCAATAAAAAAGATTATTAAGTGTACATAGGGTCCTCATTGGATGGCTGGAACTGGCATCAGCTGTGATTAATGTCTGTAAAATAAAAGTAGGGCAGATAAGAATAAAACCATTTAATATGTTTACGCCATATACATAACCAACGTTTCATTCGTTATTAATATTTCAATAATATTAAACAAAGCTATGTGATCATAATAATAATTAGAGTAACTTTATCATGTAAATTAAATAGAGGAAACTATGGGAGGAAACTTTATACTTTATGGGAAGTGTATAATACTGAAATTGCAGGGCCAATGGGATTGTGTAATACATTGTAGTAACCACAGCTACTGCAGTGCATTAAAGCGTCTTCTGCTTATACACTGAGTGGCCAGTTTATTATGACCACCTGACGTTTGTAGGCAAATTAGCTATAATTAGCTATAATTTCGCGCTGAAGTTGCTTGAGGGCCAGACCATTATGAATAGGGAAGCAGGTTGTTTACCACGACAGTAGAAGTGATTTTTTTCCGAAGATATGGGTAAACAACGCGATTTAACAGCCTTTGAACGTGGGATGATTGTTGGCGCTCGGAGCCATGGAGCGAGTATCAGCAAAACAACAGAATTCGTTAAATGTTCAAGAGGGGCTTATTGTTAAAGTGTTTAAAGACTGGACTGTCAGCCGGAAATCTGGGTCTGAACGTGCGAATTGTGGCCGTCAGCGACTAGTCAATGTTAGGGCAGAACGTAGACAACAGAAGGGCAACAGTGCAGTGTCAGATTCCTTGCATCACCTTTCAACATCTGGTGGAGTCACGAGGTGGCCCAACGAAGTCATCTCGTGGAGTTATCTCGTGGCCCAACGAAGTACTGATGGGGTGGTCATAATAATCTGGCCACTCAGTGTATACACTTGTGGCACTCACCCAAATGGCACTTCCAAAAACCTAACATGTTGCTCTCTGCAGTCACTCGCCAAGTGCCCAATACCTGTTTTCTTTGTTTCGGATAGAGTATAGAAGTGCTAAAACCCCTGTCAAGGATTTATTGCTGTCTTTGTCCTTGCTAAGGAGATTAACCCTTGGTTTGTCATGGTGACCCCTATCTCAGGACTAAAAGTGATAGGAAATCCAAAAGTGTAGCTCCCCAAGAGTAGATTTCCCACCACTTTGGAGAGAATTTTTCTTCTTCGACTTTCTGTTATGCCTTTGAGACAAGACACGAAATAAAATCTGCCCGATTTTATGATAGATTTAATGCTATGAAGAAGAAGGGTGGGGGATGTAAATGCAGTACTTGATTATTCAAGGAATGCTTTTAGCGTATATTGAAATATGATTTTTAAGGCAATTTCTCGTCCTTTGTGCACTCAACTACTGCCTGATACTGTTGCAATTATTTGCAGGTTAGTCATGAAGTATTAGGTGTGCCTTGGATGTCATGAATGTCAGGTTTTCATTATAGTTGACAATAAACTATTCCATAACCTATTCTCCTTACAGCAGCTATAAAAAGAAAAAGAGGTAGATCTTAATAGGGTCTAATTATGTATGGAGGGACTGTTTTTTTATTGCTATAGAAGACAGGGCTTAATATTACCTTTGCAAAATATCTTAAAACATTCATAAATTATAAAGGTATACATTGAAAAGCAGTGCCTACTTTTTTATCATACCACATTCAGTACTGTAGGCATACTTTTAGTATACAGTGCCGGTATATAATGCAGTGTTATAGTTAATTATAAATATAAAACCTAGTAACATTTGCTGGATAATTCTCCACAACAAGATTCATTGAAACACATAATTATAAACAAGAATAGAGAATAAAAAACACTATATACATATACAGTATATAATTTATTTTTTGCCACCTTTATATGCATATTAATGTTGTAAGGTAAAGTCCAAACAGGTACATAAAATAATGTAAACGTCCAAAGGTTATCTCTGTAGACAATAATGTCCAAAGTATGTTTCTATGGCACCAAGTCCAAAGACCATGTCTGCTTGTCTAAGTCGAGTAAAAGAGCGGATTGAATTTAAGCTTAGATCAGATAAATAAAGGTTGAGCGCAGCAGTAACTCCTACTAATGCAGCATTACCTGTTATTGACTTAAACATCCATAAAGTGATTTCATATATAGTTTATCTGAGTGTTTGACCTTTTCACCTTGACATAGCATCATTTACAAGTGTAGAAGGTTTTCCATAATTGTAAATATGACCCTTATAAATTATAAAATTTAAATGATAAAAGATAACTTTTCATCACTCGCACCAATATCTTATTTAACAGTATAAACTGCACATTTAGCTTCAAACACAGCCTGTAAATGCACTACTATCTTTAAATTAGAATTTGTAATTCCAGATTTTAATATGATATATATATATTTTTAAATGGATAACGGATAATATACTTGTTTAGTTTCCAAAAGCATTGCAAACAGCTAATATGAATAAAATGTATACTTACTCAAAAGTGTTCGTTTTATATCCTTTTAAATTTGAAAATGTGCAGAAAATTTGAAGCCTGCCTGGAGCTCCTTAACAATCTCATTCTTCAGTGAAGCACTGGCCTTAGCTGGAGGACTGTATGGGAAATCGTGTTTCCCCTGGCTTTCAATATGTAATGAAATGGTTATCAGCAGATAACGTGTTGTTGACTCATTTAGCTGACTAATATAGTTATTGCTGAGATTCATGCAGCACTGCTGGGACATTGTCCCTGGTTACCTGCCATTCATTAAGTCCTGCTCTGCACAGGTGGTCTGCACTCTGCATGCATGGAAGCACACAGAGTGGAACTGATTTCCTATTTAAAAACATTGATTGTAATATATTTAAAAAAAAATGTCTTTGTGCTTTAAATGCCTGTTCATGTATAAAAAAAATCACATTATTATTACATTTAAAACATTCAAAAACCTATCATCATAAATGTTCTTGTATCTATTTTACCGTATTTTAAATACATTCGCTTTTTGTTTTAATATTATTGTATACATTCTAGTTAATTCTTACTATATTTTTTATTTTATTCATGTTTTAAATGTTTATGCAAGTAGCTATTTTTGATTTTAAGAAAAATAAAATCGTCCAGAAGCTCTGAAATAGTTTTTTGCTACATAACTCAAAGAGGAAGATATAAAATAAAAATTAATTAATTCAAAATGATGATGATTGAATCATGAGTTTATAATGTCCATTTTATCAATAATCAATTATATAAGAGAGATACATATTTATATTAAAAAATATTTTGCCACTGGACCTCTGTCTTAATAAAAAGGAGAGAACCAGGTTGCATACTTACCTGTTTTGAGCATATCTGCCTACCTTCTCCCGGGGGCCCGGGCTTGGTGTCAATCTTGTATTCCCAGTTAAATAGACTGCTTAGTCACACCACACACACTTATGTTAACGGCTGGTAGAGAGATCTGCAGCAGACGTGGTCCCTGGAGACATGGCGACAGGTATGGAAGAATATCGCCAGATGTTCACGTAATGTTACGAACGCCGAAGTGGCGTATAAAGTGATTATGAAGTGGTATATGATCCCAGCTAGACTCGCCCGTCTGTACCCTACTTCCTCAGGAGATTGTTATCGGGGTTGCCGTTCTGCCACTCACTGTCTATAAGGACTCTGTCCCCAATACCAGAGTCCCTAGGACACGAGCTGCAAGGGAAGCCTCCTCCTACATCCAGTCTCCGCACAGGTACGTGATAACCGTTCAATCAAAGCGATCAATAATAATGATGTTGACATTTTCCCTCCCCTGTTCCTCCCTACTCTACCCTACACTATCCTCCCCTCTTTCCTGCTCCGTTGATCACCCTCTTCTGACAATCCACCATACCTTTGTCTAAATCCCCCATTAGGCGATGACACCCATTTTGCTTTGACCCGCCTAGTAAACAGACTTTACTGTACTAGGGGAGTAAAAATACGAATATACCGCTTGAAAAATACCTTTGTATAAAAACCTTTGTATGATTGTTACTCTCCTCCATAAAATTGTATCCATGGAAATGTCAGAACGTTTCATATTGTTGTACCCCTATCAAACTTTAATAAAAATATTGCAACAGAAAATATTTTGGAGATCCCTCCAAAATGTTCCATGTGTTTGTTAAATCTGGCATGACTTTTTCTTCTCAATCTCGCCTGGGGTATATTCCACCTCAAAAGACTCAGGGGGTTATTCACAAACCGGCCGAAGGCAGCCGAGTGAATAACCCAGCTGAAGTGAAGTGAGCCGAACATTGGCTGCCTTTGGCTGCACTTCGGTCAACCAAACATACTCTGTTCTGCTCATGCCCTGTTCGGCAGAGCCGAAGTGCAGAAGGACTTCGACTCAGCTGATCCAACATCTGGATTGGCTGAGCCGAAGCTCCGGCGGCTCACTCGCTGCCGTTCGCGCCTATTCACATAGGGGCCGAACGGCAGTGAGTGAACAGCTGAATGCTGCCGAGCGGCATTCAGATCAGCTTTTCTACTCGGTACCTCCGTGGTACAATTGGGTAGAGCTAGCAGTGACAGCTAGCTCCACCCAACTGTTTCTTATTGGCTGGCACCTTCTAGCAGGTCCCGGCCAGTGAATAACTACTGGGCGGAGCCAGCCGTGACGTCACAGTTGGCTCTGCCCAGTTGTTATTGTTTAATGACAGGTCCCCATGTCATTTGGGGACACTGATCTGTCATTGCAACTGGGAGGAGACATCCGTCAGATTCACGGGTGGCTCCGCCCAGCTGTCATTTGCGGGGCGAAAGACCGGCCTTCGGCAGGCTGTTTGCTCCACTTCGGCTGTCACTTTGGCTCAGTCGAGCCGAAGCAAGCGCCTTCTGCTTCGGCTGCTGT